GTGTTTGAAAAGAATTGCAAGGCAATATTTCGCTAGGAAGTCTTGGATCGTCAATATGTGGGTGCTACCTGATCTTTAGGCGGGTAACGGTTCCATTATATCCATATAAATTTTATCGAATGCTGTATCGGGTGTATCAGTCAAAAAGTCATTGGTTGTTTGGTCTTTACACGTACAAGTTTTTTAAGCTGGCAATTTTTACACTTCTGTATAAAGTTTTGTATGGTTTGTTTCATATAAGGCAAAAAATATTTTTGCCTAATTCGATCGTATGTTTTGGTTACATCTTTGTGTCCTATAATGGACGAATGATTTGTCGTTATTATTTTAAAACGATCCTCTTCGAGTGGTAAAATTATTTTGTTGTTGCAAATCAGTATTTTTACCTCACTTTCGGAGAATATTCGTCGGAGGAGTGAAGCGATCACATTCCAACCGACACTAGCTACATCACCTTTGCAAATAGAAATAGTTTTAAGGTCGAGTTCAGTACCACATCTAATAATGAATGTAAAGCACTACAAATCTCTTTGCATGTTGCTCTTATTATATACGAATAGCCCCGATGGCATCTTCCTTTGTATTTCAGCAGTAATTTAGAAGATGGATACACACTACCGTGACGTTCTCCCATTTGAATGATTCTTTAGAGATTTTTATTCGGTTGGAAATGTGGCTTGCGCTATCGCAATCACAGTAGGCTCTCCGTTGAATATCTCGAGCAGTTGTTCGGGGGTTCTCGTTTGTAGAAATCCTATAGTAAGACTGAAACACTGAACGCACGACCGGATGATTCTTATATATGTTAAAATGAAATTACAAGAGGAACAAAATTCAAGTCTAGGTGCTATACCTAATACCGCGCTATGTCTATGAAATTTAAAATATCTGGTTGGGTCGTAGGTCGGGTCAGTAGTCATGCATGTCTGGCATAATGTTTCATTTTGATCGTCTTTATTCACATATTTAGTATCTAACGTACACCTAGCAGTATTTAACAAAATTAATTGCAGAGGGCTAGTCATTATAATTAATAAAATTCATAAGAAAGGTAGGTATAAATATTCATTTTATTCTTATTTCTGTATTTAGATCTTATTAGAATTTTCGCAAAAATTTAATGTGAACTTATTCTAATATAAGAAGAATTTCCTTCTTCTACTTCGTGATAGTCAAGAAATCTTAATTTTAATCTATCCTTTATAAATTTTAATATAATTTTTGTTAAGATTATTTCGTGATATTCATACGCGTTTGCTAAGTCTACGTTGGTTACGGTTATTGATCTTAAAGTTAATGTCTGAGGGGGAATATTTTGATAAAATGATCTTAATTCCAAATCTGAGAATAAAGTTAATAAGTGTGATTGTAATGATAAGTACAAGCTCGGCAGTCTTTTATCTTCCTAACCTGACCGAGAGGTGTTTTGCAAATGGTGCAACGATAATTCCTTCGTTCAATGTAAAATTTTACCTTATGCCTCAATTTTAGTATATGTCCCGTTCTAAAGTCGGGGGTTGCCTTGGCAAGGCACCTATAACATATGCTATCGGAGCCCTTTACCGGTTTTTGGGCGTAATATGTTTTTACGCAATATACAAATTTATTAATAAATGTGTCTTTTATATTTATGTTAAATCTTGGGTATAGTGAGACTATCGGATGTCTTTTATCATTTATGCATAGTTGATGAGACATCTATTTGGAAGAAAAAAAGAATCGTAATTTTACAGTCAAAATGCTAACGTAAAATAAAATAATTATAATAAAAAATAATATTCTTTGTCGTACCTTAATGTTTCGAATAGTATTAGTAATATCTTATCAATGGTTATTATTATTCCTTTACATATGATCCTTATGGGGGACTATATACAGGGTTGGGAAAGTTATTTTGTAAAAGTATCTAGTTAAAGTTACAGTTCTTTTCACTGAAAAAGAACTAGTTACAGTTACAAGTTACTGACTTTGAAAAGTAACACGTTACAGTTATAGTTACTCAAAAAGTAACGAGTCGTTACTTTTCAGTTACTTTTTTGCAATAAATGTGCACTACTATTTTAAATATAAAAATCTTACATTTCAAGATTTATTAACTCATTATATACTACATAGGTACTTAATTTTGTGTTATATTATTTATATCTAATAAATCACACTTGTTTTAAACTTAAAATAAAAATACATTTAAAATATTAAATTAATTAATAATTTAAAATAAATTATTATACACTTAGAATAAAAATTATAGGATTAAATTTTTCAGTTTAAAAATTAACGAATTTCACACAAATAGTCGTAACTTTTCAAAAAATCGTA